GGGTGTGATTCATCAAACATCATTATTCACCAATCTTGGTACTGTTAATCTCACTTGCTGTTAAACCCACACAAATCGAGACAGAGGGGCACCACACACTGAGATATTGAAGGTCCTTTATTCTTTATCTTTTATTTTTATTGTGAAAATACTGTACAGAGGGGTTACAATTACCTGGGCAAGATAATGAGCACATTTCTTTCTTTCTTTTTTTTTGGGAGGGGGTCCAGTCATGGGGCCTGAACTCTGGGCCTGGGCATTGACCCTCAGCTCTTCAGCTCAAGGCTAGCGCTCTACCACTTGAGCCACAGTGCCACTTCCAGCTTTTTCCTTTTTGCTTATGTGGTGCTGAGGAATCGAACCCAGGGCCTCAGGCATGTAAAGCAAGTGCTCTACCACTGAGCCACCTTCGCAGCCCAATAAGTGGGATTTTTAAAGGCAGAAACTGTACATTTTATATATGTTTAGTCAGGGCTGGGAAGGTGGCTCAGTGGTAGAGCGCTTGCCTTGTATGCATGAGTCCCTGGGTTCGATTCCTCAGTACCACATAAGCCAAAAAAAAAAAGCCGGAAGTGGCACTGTGGCTCAAGTGGTAGAGCATTATCCTTGAGCTGAAGAGCTGAGGGACAGTGCCCAGGCCCAGAGTTCAGGCCCTCTACCGGACCCAAAAAAAAAAATACAAAATATATATGTTTAGTCAGTACCAGGCAGATTAGGTACTAATCAGATAAAGAGACAACTGGAAAACCAGGTCTCAGTGGCTCACGCCTGTAACCCTAGCTCCTCAGGAGGCTGAGTATCATGGTTCAAAGCCAGCCGGGGCAGGAAAGTCTGTGAGATTCTTTTTTTTTTTTGGGTCCGGTGGTGGGGCCTGAACTCTGGGCCTGGGCGCTGTCCCTCAGCTCTTCAGCTCAGGGCTAGCGCTCTACCACTTGAGTTACAGCACCACTTCCGGCTTTTTTCTTTTTGCTTATGTGGTGCTGAGGAATCGAACCCAGGGCCTCGAGCATGCAAGGCAAGCGCTCTACCACTGAGCCACCTTCCCAGCCCCAAGTCTGTGAGATTCTTATCTCCAATGAACCACCAGAAAGCTGGAAGTGGCGCTGTGGCTCAAGTGGTAGAGTGCTCACCTTGAGCTGAAGAGCTGAGGGACAGTGCCCAGGCCCAGAGTTCAAGCCCCAAGAGACACCTGGAGCTACAAGGAGATAGTGGCAGTGCGTTCTCTCTCTCTCTCTCTCTTTTTCTCTCTCTCTCCCTCTTTCTTCCCTCTTTCTCTCTCCCTCTTTCTCTCTCTGTCTCTGTCTCCGTCTCTGTCTGTCTGTCTGTATCTCTCTCTCTCTCTCTCTCTCTGTGTGCCAGTGCTGCTACTTGAACTCTGGGCCTAGCCCATGTCCCTGGGCTTCTTTTGCTCCAGGAGAGCACTTGAGCCACAGTACCACTTCCAGCTTTTTTGAGTTTTATTGGAGATAAAGAGTTTCACAGACTTTCCTACCCCAGCTGGCTTGGAAGAATGATCCTCAGATCTTAGCCTCCTGAGTAGCTAGGATGACAGGCTTGAGCCGCCTGTGTTCAGCTGCATATATTGAAAAGGAGACTGGGTCTAAACTTCCCCTAGGTAATTAGCCATTGATTTTCCCTGATTGTTTCCCTAGATGGTTTGCTTTTATTTAACATGTCTATTAGGTTTAAGTGTGCTCATCTGGTTTGCTTTGCTCACCTATAACACTTTCGTTGGATTTGATTCCATACACCTTGTGTGGTCTTAGCCTGTGTTAGCTTTGTGTTAGCTGCTGGTCTTTGTGGGACAAGAGTCCACCAGCCGTCTACCGACTCTCCAATAAAGACTCATAACTTGGTCTTTTAAGTGGTCTTCTCTGTTTCTTGTGACCAGGTTTCCTTGCAACAATATCTCTTAATGAAACAAAAGTGTCAGCTAAAGAGCTCACAACCTACATAGGTGGTTAAACAGGAGTGAGTCATAGCTCAACAATTTGATCTAGCGATATATTTTCTCTTTGGGCTCCTGATTTTTCCTTTATCTTGGAAACTGCATGGCCCTCCGCTGAAAAACTGGAGTCAGGGCTAAGTCAGGAATTTCCCTGCTAGCAGGCTGGGTATGGTGGTTCACACCTGTAATCCCAGTTCTCATGAGGCCTTGAGGGAGAATTGCAATCCTCAAAAGTGCTCTACTACTTAGTCCTGGCCATTTTGGGTTTAATTATTTTTCAAGTAGGGTCCCAACTTGATCCTGGGACCACCTTGAACCGCAGTCCTCTTACCAATGCTTCTGACTACATAGCTCAAGTGGAGAAGGCTAGCTTTGAGCAAAAGACCCTCAGGGAGGGCTGGGAAGGTGGCTCAGTGATAGATTGCTTGACCTCGAATGCATGAGGCCCTGGATTCGATTCCTCAGCACCACAGAAGCAGAAAGCCTTGAACTGAATAACTGAGGGACAGTGCCCAGGCCCAGAGTTCAAGCCCCATGACCGACAAACACACACACACACACACACACACACACACACACACACACACACACACACACACACACACACACACACACACACACACACACACACACACAGCTCAGGAGGGAAGGAAAGAGAAAGAAAGAGAAGGAATGGCTTCTCTTACCTCTAAGACTTTTCAGAGCTGAGTGAATAACCCCCCCCCCCCCCCACCCGCCCCATGGCTGTGAGAATCAGGTGATGTTACTTAGACCCAGTATCCTTATATATTTGTGCTTGTTATTAGTGTTATTGCTTTTGTTTTGGATTCCAGGTGTTTAAGGGCTCTCCTCCCAGGCTGATGAACAGTTTGTGGAAGAAGTTTGTAATCCAGTGTTTGCAGAACTGTAAAATGGTGACATTATCACTATTTTTAGGCATGGAAATTTGGCCGTGGAATGTTTAAAAGCAAGTTAATTGTTTCCAAATTAATTGATCATTAACAAGAAGCCCACATGGGTGTGGATTTCCTTGTCCTCCCATGGAGCAGGCTGGTCAGACCTGAAAAGATTTCATCAGACAGATCGTGAATAAACGGGGTTATGAAAACTGGCCTGGGGCCTTAGAAGGAGAAGAGACCAATGGGTTCATCGGGGCAGGAGTTTTGGTTTTGCAAGATGCAAAATGTCTGGAGACAGATTGCACAAGGCTGTGGCTAGACTCACCGTTACCGCATGATAGCCTTGGAAATGATTAAAGTGGTAATGTTTATGCTCTGGATATCTGGTCATATGTTTGAGAAATGACGCTATCATCATTTTGCTGTCAGATGGGCACCAGCAGCTCACATGTGTAATCCCAGCTACTCAGGAGGCTGTGATCTGAGGAGCACAGTTTGTAAAGTTGTCAAGTTGTATGCCCGCTCATCTGTGTGTGTGTGTGTGTGTGCGCGCGCGGGCACGCACCCGCATGCTCATGTGTGTGTGTCAGTACTGAGGCTTGAACCGTGGTCCTCCAGTTCTCACTTGCCTGGCTCTTTCCACTCAAGGCTGGAATGGAGCTCCTGCTTGAGCCCCAGCTTTGCTTTTGGCTTTCTTGCTGGGTAATGAGAGATGAGAAGACCTAATCTTCCTATCTCCTAGGATTCCCGGGGTGTCTAGATGGCCAGCCTGCTGATCTCTTGAGATTGAAGGGGCATCCTTGTAGCCAATGCATCTTCCAGAACCCAGAATTCTTTTTGTGTATGTGTGCTGGTCATGGAGCTTGAACTCTGGGCCTGGGCGCTGTCCCTCAGCTCTTCACTCAAGGCAAGCGCTCTACCACTTGAGCCACAGTGACACTTCCTGTTTTCTTGTGTGGTTTACTGGAGATCAGAGTTTCCTGGACTTTCCTGCCTGGGCTGACTTTGAACCTCGATCCTCAGATCTCAGCCTCCTGAGTAGCTAGGATTACAGGCGTGAGCCCTCAGTGCCTGCAAACCCAGAAGTCTTTACTCCAGACTCTGAGGACCAAGACGTCTCCCCGTAATGATGCTCATATACCCAAGAAAACTACATTTCCCATGAGGCTATGGGGCCTCAGGGTCAAAAAAACCAAAAACAAAAACCCTAGCTGGGCTCCAGTGGCTCATGCCTGTCATCCTAGTTACTCCTGAGGCTGAGATCTGAGGATCCCAGTTCAAAGCCAGCCCTGGCAGGAAATCCTGTGAGACTCTTACCTCCAATAAATCACTAGAAAACCAGAAGTGGTGCTGTGGCTCAAGCAGTAGAGTGCTCACCTTGAGCTGAAGAGCGCAGGGATAGCGCCCAGGCCTAGGGTTCAAGCCCCATGACTGACAAAAACAAAACAAAACAAAAAACCCTATTGATGTTTGTTTTTGTTTTTGTTGGTCATGGGGCCTGAACTCTGGGCCTGAGCACTGTCCCTCAGCTCTTCAGCTCAAGGCTAGTGCCCTACCACTTGAGCCAAAGCACCACTTCCAGCTTTTTCTGCTTATGTGGTGCTGAGGAATCGAACCTAGGGCCTCATGCATGCAGGGCAAGCGCTCGACCACTGAGCCACCTTCCCGGCCCCCCTATTGATGTTTTTGAAGCACCTCTGAGACATAGTTCCACATTGCGTCCACAAGAAGGTAAAGATGGATGATCAATCCTGTCCTGTTAGGGCTGGGATAAATCAGTCACTGGTGGTTTAAACCTATAAATCTACCAGTGCAGGAAGCTGAGATCTGAGGATTGTGGCTCAAAGCCAGGAAAATTCATTAGACTCTTATCTCCAATGAATCATCAGAAAACCGGAAGTGGTGCTGTAGCTCAAAGTGAGAGAGCGCCAGCCTGGAGCACAAAGTTCAGGGACAGCGACCAGGCCGAGTTCAAACCCAGGACCATCAAAAAAAAATCAAGGATAGTCCTGGAGACGCTGGGATCATCTTGTCCGAGGTGGGCCCTGGGGCAGCTGGGACCAAGGGCCATGAAGGGGTGGGGAGAAGGGGGTCCCAGACACAAGGAGACACCAGAAACATTGTCACTTTCACCTTCAAATGCTGATGCTCCCCTCGCAGACTCTTTATTACTCAAGTAAGAAAAATACAAAAATAAATAAGATAAATACCCCCCATAAATAAGAGGAACCCCTAAAACATGTGGACTGTGGCTTCAGGATGCATAGCTGGGGCTTCGGCCCTGTAACAGTCCCACCATACTCAGAGGGTCGGAGGAGCCGACATCAGGGGGCTCGGGAGCCAGGATCCCGGGGGGCTCCGGAGGCGCAGGGGGCACACCAGGCAGGGGCAGGAAGCGGGCTGGCCCCCAGGGTGCTGGATCCTGGGGAGGCAGGCGCAGGGGGAGACCCAGGGCTTCAGAACGGTAAATGTTGTATCCATCTTCCAGAAGCAGCTCCTGGAAGCTGCAAACCTCAGGGTCAAAGTGGAGCTGGGGGAAAGACAGGAAAGAGGAGTTAGAGCCTCCCACTTCCTTTCATTCAGCCCTGAGGCCCAGACCCCAGCTCTAGCCAGCAATCATTCTGTCTCCAGGAACCAGGACTGTATGGGTGGATTTTATTTATTTATTGTCAGTCCTGGGGCTTGAACTTGGGACCTGGGTGCTGTCCCTCGTCTTATGCTCAAGGCGAGTGCTTGACCACTTGAACCACACCACTTCCAATTATTCTAGTGGTTCATTGAAGATCAGCATCTCGTGGAGTTTCTTCCAACTGCCATCCTTAGATCTCAGCCTCTTGAGTAGCTAGGATTATAGACATGAGCCACCAGCAGCGCCCAGCTCATAGGTGGTTTTTTTTCTTTTCTTTTTCTTTTTTTTCGGTCAGTTGTGGGGCTTGAACTCTGGGCCTGAGCGCTGTCCCTCAGCTCTTCAGCTAAAGGTGAGCACTTGAGCCACAGCGCCACTTCCGGTTTTCTGGTGGTTCACTGGAGATAAGAGGCTCACGGACTTTCCTTGCCTGGTCTGGCTTTGAACTGCGATCCTCAGATCTCAGCCTCCTGAGTAGCTAGTATGCCAGGCGTGAGCCACAGGTACCCAGGCTCATAAGTGGATTTTTGCTGTCCCCAAGGCCGTTCCAGGGAAGAGGTCGGCCATCAAGCAAGGCTGTCATAGGCCAGGCAGAGCACCTTCACTGCTGCCCATCTCCCATTACTTAGAGACCATGGACCACCGCCTCTGGGGCCACATGTCAGGAGCCCAGGGTGCCTCTGGTGGCAGGTACCACAATCCTGGTCACAGAATGTAGCCTCCAAGCCTATCCCTAAACTTCCTGCCTGAGCCTGGTCTTGCAAATTCTGATAACCATCACTCCCCCCTTACAAGGGGTTAAAGCTGGAAACCAAGGCTAGCCAGAGCCTAGCGAGCAAGACACCTGATCATGAGATGACAGAGAAGAAGTGTGCAGGATGGAGGTTCAGGCAACTTACTGATCCATACAGTGTCCCGTCTGGTCTCTGGCATAAGAATCTGGATGTCTTGATCCCCAAGATTTGAATGACTCCTGGCTTCAAGGCTTTCAGCTCCAAGAGACCTGGGAGAGACAATGGGACGACCCTCAACAAAGCTGCTCCCAACCCAGTTACAACTACCCCAGATCCAGGGACCACAGACCCTTTGCATCACCTTGCCACCCTACTGGCTTAGTCTTCACACTTACTTTCAGGGCTCCGGTGGGCAGTCCCCACCACCGTGCCATCTGCCCTGATCTCCAGATGGGCTTCTGTCTCCTGAGTGTCATCTGTGTAGAGGTGCCGAAGCCGAACTTGACCCCCAAATTGGAGGAGGGGGCTGGAGTCAGGGATAGGCCGTGCCTTGCATGCTCCCAGAAGTATGACAGCCAGCACAAGGCCCCACAGCCCCCAGGCCCCAGCCCCGGTGTTTGCCTGGTCCATCAACGGCAAAGGTGACCTGACCAGGTCCAGGTGTGCGTCAACTGGTCGAGATGAGCGGGCTGAGGTCTCGTCTCTGACCACCTGAATGCCTGGTTGCCCTTCCGCCCGGATTCCCAGCTTCCACACCACCAATACTCTGGGATGGATGCAGCAGCTCCGGAATTTATACCCACACCGACCTGCCCACGTGCCCTCTCCAAGCCTGATGCGTGATATTTGACCCATTTGGCAACAGCCAGAATTCCACCGTGGCCAGGATGGCCTGGGCAGACAGATGATGCAATGGCTGCTGGGAGGGGGTCCTTGGAGGTGCAGCTGCACTCCTAGGTGGTGGGGGGAGGAAGGGGAGAACTTGATGAACTGGAACCTGGGTGAAGGGACCTCCTGGGTCTCAGGAGGGGAGGATGGGAGTTCTCAAGTCCTGGATCTGAGGGAGGAGGCTGGGGCCTGGGTTTCTGGATCTGAGGGAGGGAGGTTGGGGCCTGGACCCCTGGACTTGAGGATCTGAGGGAGGAGGCAGGATCTGGACCCCCAGATCTGAGGGAGGAGGCTGGGGCCTGGACCCCTAGATCTGAGGGAGGAGGCTGGGGCCTAGACCCCTAGGTCTGAGGGAGTAGGTTGGGGCCTGGACCCCTGGTCTGAACCCCTATGTCTGAGGGAGGAGGCTGGGGTCTGGACCCCTGGACTTGAGGATCTGAGGGAGGAGGCTGGGGTCTGGACCCTTGGGTCTGAAGGAGGGGGGGCTGGGACTGAACTTCTGAGGAAGGAGCAGGCTTTTCCCCCAAGTGTAACTCCTGTCCCTCTGATTTCAGCGGCTGGGTTGTGAAGGGACATGGCTCCGGGTGGGTTAAGCTGCCACTGCCTCATTGAAGAACTGTCCTGAGCAGGTGTCACCTTCCAGCCTGGGCCTGGCCTTCGGCCAGCCTCAGCCTCACCAATGCCACCGGCTACAGTGGGGACCCTGCGGGGCCTGGGCTGTGTCCTCCCTGATGCAATCCCAGGGCTTCTTTCACCAGAGCCACAGGATCCCTGGGGCAGGTGCTCCCGAAATAACTAATGGGGCGGGGCAGACTGCTCACAGAGAAATCAGACTCAGAAATGGGCATGCTGTGTGTGTGTGTGTGTGTGTGTGACTCCTAGAGGCTCCTTCTGGAGAGTGCTGGAGCTGAGTTCCCAGATCTGAGGGAGGGGGGGTCTATGATGTGGGTCCCTGGGTCTGAGGGAGGAGGCTGGGGCCTGGAACCCCTGGGTCTGGGACACCAGCAGCAATGGAGATCCTGATGTAGGGAGGTCCTCGGACAATGGAAACAGGTCTTGCTGTGGGGTGGAGCTCAGATCTCTCTTGGGGCGCCACAGCGTGGAAGCAAGCAAGCATGAACCGTGTTTCCTGGGGGGGGGGGGGGGCGCTCATTTCTGCCGTGTTCAGCAAAGGTGGTTTTCGGTGCCAACGCTGCAGGAAGTCCTGTTGGCGGATGGTGCACCCCCCGACCCCAGGCAAGCTCGGAAGGGGGCGGGTCAGGGCCTCTGGGTCTCTCGGCGTTCAGCGGGGCGACCCGGCTGATGATCCAGCCTGGGGGCTCGGGGGACCGGCCAGGAAAACAGGTTCTCTGTTCCTTGGACCGGGCGGGGCTCCGGTGGGACGACCCTGCCCTCTGAGGAGGCCAGGTGTCAGGGCGGGGCCGCCTGGGGTGCTGGGAGGGAGGGAGAGGAGGGAGGAGAGAGAGGGATGGGAGGAGGGAGGGAGGAGGAGGAAGATGAGGAGGGGGAGAAGATAAGCATCGTCCTGGGACAGGAAGAGGGCCGGAATAGGGGTTCGGCCAGCCGCTGGGTCGCGCTTGGACTGCCTGGGGCTGGGGATGGAGGGGGCCGGCTGCAGGCCTCACCCGATCGTGGGGTGAAGGCCCCGCCCTAGCCGGGGCGCCCCGCCCTCTGCACCCCATCAGAGCTGGGGCGGGGCTCCGGCTACCTGGCCGGCCCTGGAAGGTGGAAGTTCGGAGTTCGGCGGGGGGTGGGGGTGGGGTGAGGGTGGGGGCGGGCCGCGCCCCGATTCCTGCTTGAGCTCCCCGTCAGTCCCCGGGAAGCCGGCGCCGAGCCTGCCCGTTCCCCACCACCACCACCCCGGAGCCGGGGCTCCGGATGCCGCCTCGCGTCCCCAGCCTCCAGGTGGCCAGACCCGACCCCCACCCAGGACTCCAGGTGAGCCGGCCCGGGGAGGCCGGGTGGGGCCCTGGCCTCCTCCCGCCGGCGATCGCCCCTAGCCTCTCTCAGGAGTCACCCCCAGGTTCCCCGGCGCCTCCCCCCAAACCTCCAGCCTTGATGTGGGGGGGGCTGGGGCCCTCCACGTGAGCTGCGGCTCCCACGCGCCCGGTGGGGCCCAGTGTGTCTCAGACAGGTACACGGGTGGGAGGTGTTTTATCCCTTTCGGGGCCTTCCATGTGGGGTTGTGCGAGGTTCCCAGAGGCTCCCCCCTTCCCCAGGCCCCGGACCCTCTGCTAACTTGGAAAGTGCACGTTTCACCCACCTTTTGCATGTGCATCCTGGGAGATGGAGTCTTGGGCTTCTCTGTCACCAGGGAGTTTTGAACTTCCGAGCTCTCCTCTCTGACCTAAGCCGGAGCTCCATCACCCCCTGAACTTCCCCTTTCCTTCCCTGCAGCCATGTGGGTCCCCAGCAGAAAGCACCTCTGCCTGGCCTTCCTGATTGTTTGCCTCCTGTCGGCCATGTCCTTCCTCCACCTGCACCAAGATGTGCTTCAGAACGCTCTCCACTTGTCTCTGCTGTGTCCAGACCGCAGCCTGACATCTCCGGTGGCCATTGTGTGCATGCCCAGATCACCCGGGATAGCCAACAGCTCATCTCCCAGTTCCCAGCACCTTCAGCCTCTCTCTGGCACTTGGACCATTTACCCTGATGGCCGGTTTGGGAACCAGATGGGGCAGTACGCCACCCTGCTGGCCCTGGCTCAGCTCAATGGGCGCCAGCCCTTCATCCTGCCTGCCATGCATGCCACACTGGCCCCCGTGTTCCGCATCACCCTGCCCGTGTTGGCCACTGAGGTGGAGAGCCGCACCCCTTGGCAGAACCTGCAGGTCCATGACTGGATGTCAGAGGAATACACCCACTTGAGTGAACCCTTTCTGAAGCTGTCTGGCTTTCCCTGCTCTTGGACTTTTTTCCACCACGTGCGGGAACAGATCCGCAGGGAGTTCACCCTGCACGACCACCTTCGTGAAGAGGCTCAGTGGGTCTTGAGACAGTTCCGTCTGGGCCCCGACAGTCGCCACCCTCGGACTTTCGTGGGTGTCCACGTGCGCCGAGGGGACTACCTAGAGGTGATGCCTCATCGCTGGAAGGGTGTGGTGGGTGACCAGACTTACCTCCAGCAGGCCATGGATTGGTTCCGGGCACAGCACGAAGACCCCATCTTTGTGATCACCAGCAATGGTATGGAGTGGTGCCAGAAAAACCTCGACACCTCCCAGGGTGATGTGGTCTTTGCCGGTAATGGGCTGGAGAGCAACCCGGCGTGGGACTTCGCCCTGCTCCTCCAGTGCAACCACACCATCATGACCATTGGCACGTTCGGCTTCTGGGCTGCCTACCTGGTAGGTGGGGACACTGTCTACCTGGCTAACTTCACCCTGCCCGACTCTGATTTTCTAAAGATCTTCAAACCAGAAGCTGCCTTCCTGCCCGAATGGGTGGGCATTAATGCTGACCTGTCCCCCCTGAGGACGCGTTTCCAGGAAGCTTTCTGAATAAAGCCTGAGATGGATCCAAAGCAGGTGGGTACCCATTTCTCAAGCAATTCTCATTGGCAAGCCTTCTGGAACTATCAGAAGGCTATGACCCACAGGATATCATCTCGTGATGGCCAGCCCTGACTGGTTGTTCTAGAAAGTTCAGTGTTCACCTGCTCTTTCTAGTTCATACTTCTGGGTGGCTGCACCCAGCAACAGGGAACAACACTTCTTCCTTCTTGACTGACCTGCTGCTTTTTCTAGAAGAGGAGCTCTTTCTCCCCTGCATCTTCAGGTAACAGAAGGAACTCAGGGTTTACCAAGAGCAAGCACCAGGGGAGAAATAACAGTTACCTGACCTCGCCTTACTGTATAGCAAGCACTTCTCAGTTCTTCTCATGTGTTTCTGGGAGTTTCTGATTTATTCTAGAGAAGGCCACGTCTCATGTCCTGTGAAAAAATCTTACAGGACTTTGCCAGAGGGGACAGTAGATCACTGGGAGAGAATCTCATGAAGACACAACCAAAGCTCAACACTCCACTGCCTGAAAGATCTGGAAAAACAAGTCAGTCTCTAGCTGTGCTCACCACAGCCTCTGAAAGGGTTGGGTAGGTTGTAAGTACAGCTTATTTCTGTCCAGCCTTTACTTCCAAGAAAGCCTCAAAGAAATTGTCTAGGAGGATCAAAGAGGCTCAAAGAGGAAAGAGTTAAAGAGTTAACTGCCAGGCACTGATGGCCTATAAATCTTAGCTACTCAGGAGGCTGAGATCTGAGGATCATGGTTCGAAGCCTGCCAGGCAGGGAAGTCCATGAGAGACTAATCTCCAATAAATTACCAAAAAGCCAGAAGCAGAAATCCAAGGATTTTGATTTTTCTTTTTAATGCCCAAAACTACCAAAGATAATAAATGCACATCTAGGCTCTGGGTGTAAGATCAAGAAAGTTAACTCCATGGGGCTGGGAAGGTGGCTCAGTGGTAGAGCGCTTGCCTTGCATGCCTGAGGCACTGGGTTTGATTTCTCAGCACCACATAAGCAAAAAAAGAAAAAAAAGCTGGAAGTGGCACTGTGGCTCAAGTGGTAGAGCCCTAGCCTTGAGCTGAAGAGCTGAGGGACAGCACTCAGGCCCAGAGTTCAGGCCCCATGACCAGACCCCCCCAAGAAAGTTAACTCCTCAGCTCAGATGCTGGGAAGCAAAGGTCTGTTTGCTGGATGTTATCAGATTTGCAAGAAAAAAAACAAAAACAAAAAAACTAGAGGGCAATGTGTTCCTCCTTATCAACCACTGCCCACCGTCATGTGCCTCTTAGCTGCCCCAGCTCTCTGGCCCTGGCTCTTGGCAAGTCCAGGATGAACAGAGCAAGCCCTGCAGACCCCTGGGCTCAGACCAAACAGGAGTACAGGGACTGACCAGAAGAATGGGGTTTTTGACTCACACTTTCACCATCCCTTCCTTCCTGTTTTCTTGGGAGTGTGGAGGAAGAATACTGTGAAATGCAATCACAAAGCCTATGGGAAGAGGAGGGGCCCATCACCCATCAGGGATATTCAGGGTACAATTCCCAACTCCGCTTGCCCCACGCGGGCCCTAACTTACCCTGTCTCTTTGGCTTTTTATTGGGGGTGGGGAGTTGTATGTGCCGCATATTTGAGCCTGTAAAGGGAAAGGTGTGGAGCTCTCTCGTGGTATCTTGGGGCAGGGTACCTACTTGGATGGAGCTGCGCCATGCTGCTGACCTTGTGTGAATTGTCCATTTTTCCGGTGCTCCAAATCAGAAGAGATTTTTCCAGGACCCAAAGGCCTGAGACCTGAGTGTTCCTCATTCCTACCCCAATTTTTCTTCATTGGGGGAGGGGGAAAGGGGGGAGGGGGGGGAGGGATTCAGCATTCATCCCCCGTGCGCTGGGGGAGAAGGGGAGGAGCCAGTAAGCTGAGTTGTATCATTAAACTACATTTCCCATAAAGCACCGGTGCCGGCGGCACTGGTCTTCTATCCCCCTCGAGAAACCCCGCCCTCAAGGCCTTTTGGGAGTTGTAGTCCCAGCCTAAAGGCCGGTGACTTCCTCCGTGTCACTGTGGCGAGGTGCCAGGGTTGTTTCCAACCATTCAGAGAGCATCCAGCCCGCAGCCTGGGGCCTAGGGAGGGGAGGCACTGAGCGCCGGGAACGGGGTCTTGGCTGTGGAAGCCAGAGCAAGGCAAATGGCTTCCCTTCGGTGGGTGCTGGGAAAGTTCTAAGGAGAGAAGAGCGGCTCTGTGACGACATGCAATCCCCGGGAGGTGGGGCCTCGCGTTGCCGCCCAATCAGATGGAGATGGGCTTCTGGGCGGAGCCAAGGGAAGCCCTAGGAAATAGCTTTTTGGGAATTGGGGACCCCCCATGTGGGAGGCTCGGGAAGGGACGCGGCTGAAGTACTTTGTAGAGAGCTGATGCCGTGACTCGGGGCCCAGTGGAAAAGCCCACGCTAGCCCCCCCTCCCCCAGAAACTTTAATCTTGGTCGTGGGGAACATATTTAGCGCAGAAGGACGTGACCCCCGACTTCCTCTTTAAAAGCCCCCCAGAACCTGGACTGAGTTCAGCGGACCCTAGTGTTTGAGCGCCCAGGTCAGGGAATCAAGGTTGGAGAGCGGCTAGTTGGGATGCTTCGCTGCCTAGGGTACATCGGGGGTTCGGTTTTTTTGAGGAGAGTGGGTCCTGCAAATAGGGGGGTTGGTCTTAGCTTCGAGGAGGTGGTGGGCGCGGCTTCCGGGCTTTCTCTTAAGATGGCCAGGCTCCTCCTGGGTTTAGAGGCTGGAACGGGCTGGGGTTGAGTTTTCGAGTCTGGTAGTGACCTGGGGTTGGGTCTGAGGTCGGATGGTGTATTTGGTCTGAGCATTGAGTGTCAGCTTGGGGTGCAGCCGGTTTTGGAGGCTCGGGAAGTTTGCAATTCAAAATGACATCCGTTCCGAGGCGTTGGTAAAACGCAAGGATTGGGAGGTTGGGAAATGAGGTCTGAGTGGGAGAGGTCCTGAATTTAGGGGCTGGGTTCATGGTCAGTAATGAGGACCCTTCATTTGAGGGTCTCCAGGGTTGGGGGGGGGGCGGTAAAGTTTCACGTTTTGCAGACATTTGATGGACGGTAGACATCATTCTTGGAGGACTTCCCGAAGATCTTCGTTTTGCAGTTTGGGGACCCGCTGGGATAGGATGGGGGCGGGGGTGGGGGGCGCAGCTGGGTCCTTTTTCAATAGCCTTTGGCTTCTTTCCGTGTAGTGTCCACCTGCCCTCGCTTCGGGGTGAGGAGTCCCTTCCTGGCCGTGTTGGATTGCTGCGCGATCGGGCCTGAATGGGGCCCGGATTTGCCGTCTTCTTGGCGGCTCTGGCTCACTGCCTGCTCCCCGCGAGGTGCTGTATCATTTGTGACCGTCTGGTCGTCACAGCGCTCAAGTCTTTAGAAAGAGATTACCTGCCCGGCCACCTGGACACCAAGCATCACAAAACCTTCATGAAAAGGGTGCTGGATGCGGTAAAGGATTTTAAGGATCTCCCGTTGGACGAGACCAGCTTTATGGGGGCCATTGGTGAGGGCCAGGGCTGAGAGCCCCCCTCCCTTCTCCCGAGCCCTTGGGACAGAAGGGAGCAGGGGCTAGAATTGTCTGGGCCCCGGTTCAGAGTGCCAGGGGGAATATTCAGGAATGCAAAAGGCAAGAATGCGGATTCCAGGGTTCCCAGGGATACCACAACTCTTTCTCTGCGCCCTGTCCAGCAATTTTTGTATTAAAAAACTCCCAGAAGGCAATGGGGGTGGGTGGGCCTATCCCTTATCCATCTCTTAACCACACCTAGCTTCGCCCCTTGGCCTTGTGGGTATTGTAGTTCCTCCAAGGAGGCAAATCAATGAGACACTGGCACCTGGGGTTCTAGATCTCTTTCATTTCCTCCCCCCCCCTCGGCCGCCCCCACCAAACGCAGATGAGGACACGCTAGAACAGGCATCCTGGAGTTTTCTGAAGGATCTGAAAAGAATCACAGACAGTGATGTGAAAGGTAAGTGCATGGAGTTTTATTCCACCTACTGGAGGGGATCAGGATGAGGAAAAGTGCAAAATCCAGTTCCAGCTAATAGTTATTGAGACCCTATTAAAAAGAATAATCGGGGGCTGGGAAGGTGGCTCAGTGGTAGAGCGCTTGCCTTGCATGCCTGAGGACCTGGGTTCGATTCCTCAGCACCACATAAGCAAAAAGAAAAAAGCCAGAAGTGGTGCTGTAGCTCAAGTGGTAGAGCGCTAGCCTTGAGCTAAAGAGCTGAGGGACAGCGCCCAGGCCCAGAGTTCAGGCCCCACGACCGGACCCAAAAAAATAAAAATAAGTAAAAAAAGAATAATCATAGCTGGGCGCCAGTGGCTCGTGCCTGTAATCCTAGCTACTCAGGAGGCTGAGATCTGAGGATCACGGTTCAAAGCCAGCCCTGGCAGGAAAGTCTGTGAGACGCTCATCTCCAATAAACCATCAGAAAACCGGAAGTGATGCGTGGCTCAAGTGGTCGAGCACTAGCCTTGAGCTGAAGAGCTGAGGGACAGCACCCAGGCCCAGAGTTCAAGCCCCACACCACCACCAAAATAATAATAATAATAAAGCAAAAAGCTCTGAGGGGCATGGCTCAAATGGTAGATGCCTTACCTTGTCAAGCTCCAGGCCTGAGTTCAAACCTCAATACTGCTGCCAAAGGTGTGTGTTGGGGGGGAGGAGGAACTGGTGAACATTTCATACTCCTGATTGCCTCCCAGGCGAGCTCTTCGTGAAGGAGCTATTCTGGATGCTTCACCTTCAAAAGGACACATTTGCCAACTATGCTATTCAGTTTCAAAAAGAAGGTGAGACAAGACCCAGTCCTGTTAAGTCTCAGAGTTCTGTCCCTCCCTGACTGCTGGCTCCCCTCTCTCTAGTGGGGGAAGGGGGAGGGGGCTCCCTCAGATCCTTCCCCCTGGAACTCCCAGCCCTTCCTGCAACCTTTCTACCATATGATTCATCTCTCTCTTTCTCTTTTATCTTTCTCCCTTTCGAGGCAGTTTATTGTCCCAACAAATGTGGTAAGTCCAAATAATGCCAGTTAGCCCCTTAACCCTCATCCCTGCCACAAATACCAGACTTTTCCCTTTCCTCATTTGAATTTTGTTGTTTCTTTTTCTTTTTGGTCGGTCCTGGGGCTTGAACTCTGGACTTGGGTGTTGTCCCTCAGCTCTTCAGCTCAAGGAGAGCACTCTACCACTGGAGCCACAGCACCACTTCCGGTTTTCTAGTGGTTTATTGGAGATAAGAGTCTCACAGACTTTCCTGCCCTGGCTGGCTTTGAATCTTGATCCTCAGATCTCAGCCTCATGAGTAGTTAGGGTTACAGGTGTGAGCCACCGGCGCCTGGCCTCTTTTTATTTTCTAAGGAAATTTTTAAAAATTCTCCACAGTAGTTAGATTTCTGGGTAATATATTTACTTATCATTCTTATTATGTTCTGGTCCTGGGCCTTGAACTCAAGACCACCCAATGCTTTCTTGCTCACAGCTGGCACTTAACAGTTCAACATTTTGCTGGTTAATTGAAATTTTCTGCCTGGGATGAGTTTGAACCTAGGCAAGAAGTCATTTTCCATTCTGATTTTGAGGTGTTTGAGATTGAACCCAGGACCTTACCTTTGCTAGGCAAGGGCATCACACCTCCAGCCCTAGCGGGTTCTTTTTTTTTTGTCCGTCGTGGGGCTTGAACTCTGGGCCTGGGCGCTGTCCCTCAGCTCTTCAGCTCAAGGCGAGCACTCAACCAATGGAGCCTCCGGTTTTCTGAGTGGTTTATTGGAGATGAGTCTCATGGATTTCTTTGCTGGGGCTGGCTTTGAACCATGATCCTCAGATCTCAGCCTCCTGAGCAGCTAGGATTACAGGCGTGAGCCACCAGTGCCAGGCTAACGGGTCCTTTTCTATTGGCTTGCTTTCTGCGCACTCTTGTTAGGGAGGGGCTGTCTTCCTGAGGGGGTCGGTGCCCAAAGCTTCCCCTTCGCCTTGGCCTTGCCCTCTCCTTTTAACCCCGTCTTAGATTGCCAAGCCCAAGCCTTGAACTTGCCCTTCAGGGACGATGTTGCAGGTTCTGATCTGGTGCAACGAATGTGAGAAGCAGGTCCATGCTTGTCGGAAGTCCTACGATTGCGGAGGTGAGGGCTCTGCCCAGCAGGGGAAGTTGTGGCCAGAGGGGGCGTGGAAAGGGGTGTGGCCAGAGGGGGCGTGGCCAGAGGGAGCCAGATCGAGTCTAGGAGAGAGCTCCGCAGACTGGAGGCCAGGAAAAAGCGGGCCCCAAACCCGAAGAAGCCTCTGGAAGAAGAGTGTCACAGCCACCTTCCTCTCCGCATCCTCAGAGCACAGCGTGAAGGTGCACGAGATGGAGGACATCATCCTGGACTGTCACCTCAATTGGCACCATGCTTCCCAAGGCCTCGCGGACTACAGCTTTTACAGGGTGGGGTCCTGCAACTCCTCTAAACCTTGACCCCATCAGGGCTGTGTGAGTCCCCGGCCCCTGGAACCATTGGCACTTGGATCCATGGGCCTGTACCTGACCCGCCCCCTCCCTCCCATGACTCATGACCTTTACTAATCCACAGGGACCCCCTCCATCCCCTCACCCTGGATTCCTATCCCCTGCACTGAGACCCCGTGATCTTCTCATCCCGGCACTCCCCTCAAACCCTGAATTCCCCAGGCGTCTGTGACCCCTTGAGCTTGGGTCTAGGTTTGGGGGAACAATTCTGAGACCTTGGTGTCCAAGGGGAAGGAGCCCATCATGACCAAGCCCTTAGCCGGTCCCGACGACGCAGGCAACTATCGCTGCGAACTAGGCACCGTGAATTCCGGCCCAGCCACGATCATCCGGTACCGAGTCACAGGTAAGTTGGTATTCTGGGTGGGGATGGGGTGGGCAAGCTTGGGGGGCGTGGCCCCAGCCGGGGCGTGGCTTCAGGCCAAGAAGGTGTGGCTTCCTGTCGTGGGGTGGGGGTGGCTTCTGGGTGTGTGTGGGCGCAGGTTTTCCTTCATCACTGGCCCAGCACTGCCATTTACCCATCCCCTGTCAGTGTTGCCCCAGAGGGGGGTGGCCGAGGACTCAATGGGACATGTTGTAAGCCAAGATGAGGAGTCCGACGAGATAAGCCCAGCAGTCGCGATTCCCTGGCACGAGACGACCATCTACCCAACTCGTAAGCCAGAGAAGAAGTTGAAACCCGGCCTTTTAGCGCTAGTGATTGTCGCCTGTGTTTTGGTGCTACTCTGCTGTATTGCCTTGTGAGCCACCCACGGGGGAGGCGGGGCCCGGGGGGAGTGGGTGGGGTTTCCGGTAGCCAATCAAAAAACAGGTCTGGGAGCTGAGCGCCTCCCCTAGGGGGTGGGGCTTCCGTGGGGGCGGGGCCTCGGTTATGGCTAAGGATCCGGTTGGATTTGTGGGCGGCTTAAGGTGGTATGGTCCTCACTCAAGCACGGCCTAACCTGGTGTCATTATTTCCTCCGCCCCCCACCCCCCCCTAGAATGTTTTGCTGGACCAAGAAAAAGAAATCGAAATCCAAGGGTGGCGGGGAATCTGATCAGCAAGAAGGAGGAGGGGAAGGAGAAGGGGAAGGGGAAGGGGAAGGGGATGAGGGAAATGCTGAACAGAAGGAAGCTGAAGAGGAAGAAGGCGAGGCGTCCGAGGAACAAGAATAAAGATTGGCTTTTATTTTTTAATTTTGGCCTTAAGTGTCTGACTCACTCCTCAGACAGATCCTAACTTTTGGCCCCTGGAGAGGGAAGGTTAGCAGACCCACTTCCGCCTGAGGGAGGAGGGACTGGAACGTGGGACACTAGGGTCCCTGGAGGGGGGCAGTGATGGTAACCAATGGGCTGTGGGAGAATCCCAGAATCAAGAAACAGGGCAGACTCAGCCCTACCCAGATCTCCTCCCCCAGGCTTGGTCTCCTCACAGGACGCCCCCTCCCCGCTCTTCCTGCCGGGTTTCCTCTGGCCTTTTCCTGTCCCCCACCCAGTGCTGGAAGCTGGGGCAGAGGCAAAGACCTTTACAGGAGCAGAGGAGTCGGGAATTAACCGAGGCCAGCGGAGCCAGGGCCTCCGGGTGCTGCTGGACCCGAAGCAGGGTAAGAGCCAGGGACCTCTAGGGAGAGACTCTACAGCCATCTTCCATCCTGGGAACTAACACCAGGTCCCCAACCCTCTCCTTCATCTAGACTCTGCAATCTCAGCTTCTGCCTCTCTTCCCTCTGACTCAGGAGTCCAGATTCCCCTCTCCCTCATCCCACCATCCTGCATCTCGGAGTTGGGGGTCTTATCCACCTTCCTTTAGGGCCATGCTATCTGGTGAACGCAAGGAGGGCGGAAGCCCCCGCTTCGGGAAACTCCATCTCCCTGTGGGCCTGTGGATCAATTCCCCCAGGAAACAGCTGGCCAAGCTGGGGCGGCGCTGGCCCAGCGCTGCCTCTGTCAAGTGAGTAGCCACCATCTCAGGATGCTCGTCCCTGCGCCACCTGCCTCCCCTCTGTCTCTGTGGAGGAACCCTGTCCCTGCTTTGGGGTCACGGCCTGAATGCAGAAGCGACCTGTGGGGCTGGGGGATGGGAAGGGGAGCGCCAGAGAAGTCGGTGGGACTCTGACTGGAAATCAAGGCACCGTGGAGGGGAAGAGCTGGGTTGAGGAGACGGGGCCAGGCCGGATGGGCACCCGGATGGACACCGAAGGCCTGGCACAGGGGGTTGATTCACTCTCCTTCCTCCCCTCCCAGTTGGCCTCGGAATTTCCCTCTGCGGGAACGGAACGGCCTTGACTTTTTTTCTTTTTCTTTCTCTCCCTCTTTACCCCCCCCCCTCTGTCCACCCCGGGTGTCTCCGGCCTTCCTGCCTCTGCTCCCATCCTTGTCCCATTTTCTCTGGCTCTTTTTGGCCTACCCCATCTCCCGTCTCTGTCTGGATCTCTCTTCGCCCCCTCCTTCCCCCCCAAACCCCCCGCTGCTGCCCGGGGTGACTCCCAGGTCTTCGTCTTCCGACACGGGGAGCCGCAGCAGCGAGCCGCTGCCCCCGCCCCCTCCGCACGTGGAGCTGCGGCGGGTGGGCGCGGTGAAGGCCGCGGGGGGCGCCTCGGGGAGCCGCGCCAAGCGCATCTCGCAGCTCTTCCGGGGTTCCGGGACCGGGACGACGGGGTCTGGGGGTGCTGGAGGTCCCGGGACCCCCGGGGCCGCGCAGCGCTGGGCCAGCGAGAAGAAGCTACCGGAGCTGGCGGCGGGCGTCGCCCCAGAGCCGCCCCTGGCCACGCGCGCCACGGCGCCCCCGGGGGTGCTCAAGATCTTCGGCGCGGGGCTGGCATCCGGTGCCAACTACAAGAGCGTGCTGGCCACGGCGCGGTCCACGGCGCGCGAGCTGGTGGCAGAGGCGCTGGAGCGCTACGGGCTGGCCAGCAGCCCCGGCACCGGCCCGGGCGACGCCAGCTGCGTGGACGCCTTCGCGCTGTGCGACGCGCTCGGCCGGCCTGCGACGGCCGGCGTCGGGGGCGGCGAGTGGCGGGCGGAGCACCTGCGCGTGCTGGGCGACTCGGAGCGCCCCCTGCTGGTGCAGGAGCTGTGGCGCGCGCGGCCCGGCTGGGCGCGGCGCTTCGAGCTGCGCGGCAGGGAGGAGGCGCGCCGCTTGGAGCAGGAGGCCTTCGGGGCTGCGGACGGCGACGGTGAGCCTGGGGGCGGGGCCTGGCGTGGGGGGGGGTGGGACCAATAGGAAAGAGACGGGCGGTCATTTGGGGGCGGGGCTTGAACTACTGGGGTGGGGCCTATGGGGAGACTGGAGGCGGGCCAGTAGGAGCAAATTGCTAGCTTGGGGGCGGGGCTTGGGCTGCTGGCGGGGGCTGGGGTGGGGTGGGGGGGTGGGGGAGTGTGGGGGGGTGCCCCCCCAGGAGGGGGTCTTGTGGCAGCTGCAGGGTTTGGATCTGGGGAGCCCAGCTAGGTTAGGAAATCGAAGAGCAGCCGGAGGAGTAGGCATAGATGGAGTTCTTGAGCCAATGGGCGGGGCCTATGATGGCAGGTCGGGGCCTGAGTAATTCAGTGGCTTGGAGCTTGGCAGTGTTGGGCCAGATGACCTGTGCTGGCATCTGGGGAGTGAGTCTCTGGTGAGAGGCAGGTCTGTGAGGTAGACTGAGGCCCTTTCTGAAGAGCAGAGCCCATGTGGGTGGAGCCTAGGAGGGGGACATGAAGGGCACGAAGAAGGGCTCCTGTGGGGAGGCCTGGTGCTGAGTGCCTTGTCTGTTTCCAAATCTCCCTTTGGAAGATAAAGTTATGATAGCATTTACATTGTTACACTTGGGTCTCAGTGGTTTCTTTGCCTGATTAACCTAACTGGGGTTGGCGGGCAGGAATAGATGAAAGTTCATTGGGATCATATATAAAAGGGGCTTCCATAATAGGTACTTAATTAAAGGCTGGAGGCCCTGAATCCCCACTACCACCAAAAGAAAAAAAAAAGAGAGAGAGAGAGAGAAGGCTTCCCTACTGTGCCCAACACATTTTTTAGTGGGAAAACAATGGGACCATGAACAGGTGGGATTGTCATCTTCGCATATCTTAGAAGTTTAGTGGGGAGAAACAGATGGGTTCATTCTTTAGTCTCCTTTCCATTGGATGTCGAGTCTATGCCAGGGCTTGGTTTGGGACCAGAAAAAGTTCATTCTGTTCTGCAAGGAGTTCTACAACTTGTTAGGAAAGGGCGTTGTGGAGAAGGATGTTTCTCTGTTATGCCTAGACCAGCCCCCCTCCCCCCCCCCCCCCCCCGCCCCTACACTCCGTAGATGCTCAATAAATGCTTGCTACAATAATACCTTTCTGAACTGAAAACTGCAAAGATAGGCGGGAAGTGTGCTCCAGACAACGGGAACCGCATCTGCAGAGTCTGAGCTTAGCCAGTGCTGTTTCCTAAAGGCAACTGACTCTGGCTTCTGCCTCAGTTTCTCCCTGTTCTCCCTCTCTTCTCAGGCACGGGCGCCCCCTCGTGGCGACCACAGAAGAACCGCTCCCGGGCAGCGTCCGGAGGGGCGGCTCTGGCCAGTCCTGGTCCGGGGTCCGGATCGGGGACCCCGTCCGGGTCGGGCGGCAAGGAGCGCTCGGAAAACTTATCCCTGCGACGCAGCGTGTCGGAGCTCAGCCTGCAGGGCCGGCGGCGACGGCAGCAGGAACGCAGACAGCAGGCGCTCAGCATGGCTCCAGGGGCAGCTGACCCCCAGATCGGACCTGTGGACCCTGGAGACTTCGATCAGTTGACTCAGTGCCTCATCCAGGCCCCCAACAACCGCCCCTATTTCCTGCTGCTCCAGGGTTACCAGGACGCCCAGGTGAGCAGCTGCCTCCTCCACTCAAAGACTCCTATGTATGCTCCCTCTGCCATGGTAGGGAGGCAGAAAACTACAATTCCCAGAATTCTTTGGATGGGGTGGGGTAGCCCCAAGTACTCCAGTGGTTCCAGCAAGGTTTCAGAGTGGGAAATAAAGGTGGAAAGTAGAGGGCTGGAAAAGAGACTCCAAGAGGGCTAGATAGGGAATGGCTCATTTCATTTGAAATTTGTGGAAGACATTATCAAAGGAGATCTATTTAGGGGAGGTGGGGAGAGAGGGCAATTCTGGGGCTTGAACTCAAGGCCTGGGTGCTGTCCCTGAGGTTTTGTTTTGTTTTTTTTTCTGAAGGCTAGCACTTTACCACTTAAGCCACAGCTCTACCTCTTTTTTTTGGTCAGTTGTGGGGCTTGAACTCTGGGCCTGGGCACTGTCCCTCAGCTCTTCAGCTCAAGGCAAGTGCTCTACCACTTGAGCCACAGCACCACTTCTGGTTTTCTGGTGGTTTCTTGGAGATAAGAGTCTCATGGACTTTCCTGCCCGGGCTGGCTTTGAACTGTGATCCTCAGACCTCAACCTTCTGAGTAGCTAGGATTACAGGCATGAGCCACTGGCACCCGATTTCATGGTAGTTTCTATAAAGAACTTCTAAAGATATCCCAAAGGATATTGAGAGAAATAACTACTGGAAGGGGAAATGTGTTTGGAATAAGGAACAGGTGGGTCCAGGGATAGGTTTTCTTGGAAAGGCCCATTTCTGAAGGAGATGCCAAGGGGGCAATCCATTTTAGTACAGGGTGGGGATGGGGGAGTGTTTTTGGAAGTTGAGCTGGATGTTTTACGAAACAGTCCTCTGTGGGTTGGGAAGAGACCATTCAGAAGAGTTGAGAAGATGGGAGACTCATTTGGAGAACGATCTCCAGGACTCCATTCCTTACTCTGCTTCTAAAGAGCAGACTAGCCGGGCGCCGGTGGCTCACGCCTGTCATCCTAGCTACTCAGGAGGCTGAGATCTGAGGATCACGGTTCAAAGCCAGCCTAGGCAGGAAATTCTATGAGACTCTTATCTCCAATAAACCACAAGTGGCTCTGTCCTGGAGTGGTAGAGCTCTCCTCTTGAGCTGAAGAGCTCAGGGACTGCACCCAGGCCTTGAGTTCAAGCCCCACGACTGACCAAAAAAAAAAAAAAAATGGACTAGAAGCACTGACCACCCAAAGTAGCTTTGGAGGGCCCATTCCTCCAAGGTGGTCACCTTGGAAGGGTCCAGAGGAGGAGATGGGGGAATGGCAGGGTTAGGCCTCCTTCCGCGGAGGAGGATGGACTGGACGCGTGTCCTCCTGCCGGCCCGGCTTTGCCCGCAGGACTTCGTGGTGTACGTGATGACGCGGGAGCAGCACGTGTTCGGGCGCGGGGGCACCTCGTCGTCCCGCAGCGGGTCCCCGGCCCCCTACGTGGACACCTTCCTCAACGCCCCTGACATCCTGCCACGCCACTGCACCGTGCGCGCAGGCCCCGAGCCCCCCGCCATGGTGCGCCCGTCCCGGGGCGCCCCGGTGACGCACAACGGGTGCCTCCTGCTCCGCGAGGCCGAGCTGCACCCCGGCGACCTGCTGGGGCTGGGCGAGCACTTCCTGTTCATGTACAAGGACCCCCGCGCCGGGGGGTCGGGGTCGGCCCGGCCCCCGTGGCTGCCCGCGCGCCCTGGGGCCACGCCCCCCGGACCCGGCTGGGCCTTCTCCTGTCGCCTGTGCGGCCGCGGCCTGCAGGAGCGCGGCGAGGCGCTGGCCGCCTACCTGGACGGCCGCGAACCCGTGCTGCGCTTCCGGCCTCGCGAGGAGGAGGCGCTGCTAGGTGAGGTGGTGCGCGCAGCGGCGTCCGGCGCCGGGGACCTGCCGCCCCTCGGGCCCGCCACGCTGCTGGCGCTGTGCGTGCAACACTCGGCCCGGGAGCTGGAGCTGGGCCACCTGCCACGCCTACTGGGCCGCCTGGCCAGGCTCATCAAGGAGGCTGTCTGGGTGAGCGCCCCCAAATCTATCCTGCAGCCTCTCACCGTTCCCATCCATCCACCCATCCATCCCATCCACCCACCCACCTACCCATCCATCCATCCGTCCGTCCGTTTCAGACCTGGGCAAATATAAACTACATCTCCCATGAAGCCTTGCGGGAGAAGGAGGCTTGAGGTATGAATGAAGAGGCCACGTAGAATGCTGGGAGTTGTGGTTTTGTTGGGCGGGAAGGCAGTCCAGTATTTACCTTTGGCGCTATGTGGGTGGTGGTCATAAGGTCATGGAAGACACCGTTATGGGAAACAGAGGGAGATACCTCCAGCCGAGAAGTTGGGAGAGATCATATATGAGAAGAGCCATGGGCCACCTTTGAGAGTTTGGAATGATAGTGGACAAGGACATTCTTGGGGGATAGATAAATCCATTAGAACTACACTGGGAATGCCTGGAAGAAGTAATTCAGAATTGGGAGAGGGGGAGTTTCCATTGAGGTGGGGCCCAGTTTAAAAAAAAAAAAGATTTAGGGAGTCTCTTCCAGGTGAGAAACTATTTAAACTGGAGAGAGGACTCCAGGGAAATAGACCACATGCGCTGTATGTTTTAAAAAGAAGAAAGGGGAGAAAGCTTTCTGAAGCATGATTGCTACAGTGCATTGGAAAAGTGGCATACTCTAGAAAAATCAGATGATAGATTCTGGGTGGTAGTTCACACCTGTAATCCCAGCATTCCAGAGGCTGAGACCAGAGGATCATGGTATGCCAGGCAAGCCTGAGATTCCCAGTGACACCTTGTCAAAAAGGAAGGAAGGCTGGGCAGCAGTGGTTCATGCCTGTAATCCTAGCTACTCAGGAGGCTGAGATCTGAGGATCACAGTTCAAAACCAGTCCAGGAAGGAAAGTCCATGAGACTCTTATCTCCAATAAACTGCTCGATGCTGGAAGTGACACTGTAGCTCATGAGGTAGAGTGCTAGCCTTGAATACAAAAAAATCTCCAGGGCAGCACCCAGGCCCTGACCAAAAAAAAAAAAAAAAAGAAGAAGAAGAAGGAAGAAAGGAATGGAAGGAGGGAAAAGAGAAGACGAATGTTAATTCTTAGTTCCCTTTGCCTGAACCTCTCACCCTGATTCTGATCTTACTGTACCACAGGAAAAGATTAAGGAAATTGGAGACCGTCAGCCAGAGAAGTAAGAGAACTGGGGAGAAAGTTCTGGTGGGCTGTGGGGTTGGGTGGCGCATCAAATTGTGCATTGCTGCAGATCTTCTAGGATGCAAGTTTCTGTGCATCATTGGGATCTGGCCTTCTCAGCTGTGAAGTGGGGCTTAGTCTCCAGCTTTGACATACATCTTGGGGTTTGGACACTAGGGGGGTGGTTGGGTGGGGAATCACAAGTTCTTTTCATTTTCTGCAGCCATCCCGAAGGGGTCCCGGAAGTGCCTCTGACTCCTGAAGCCGTGTCTGTGGAGTTGAGGCCACTCATGCTATGGATGGCCAACACCACAGAGCTGCTGAGCTTTGTACAAGAGAAGGTGCTGGAAATGGAGAAGGAGGCTGACCAGGAGGGTGAGCTCAGACGTAGGCTGAGCCTGGCCTGTCCAAACCCCCTGTCATTCCCTAAACCTGGAGATGTGGTGTGCTGGCTGCCAGCCTGTGCTTTCTCCCTCTTACCCCCAGGCCTGTCCTCAGACCCACAGCTCTGCAATGACTTGGAATTGTGTGACGAGGCCATGGCCCTTTTGGATGAGGTCATCATGTGTACCTTCCAGCAGTCAGTCTACTACCTCACCAAGGTTGGCCTCGACCCCTTGCCTCCTATTTATCATAAAAGTGCTTTCCGTGTGTGAGCTACATTGTGTTGGTCTGAGGTCACTTCCTATTTGATTCAAAATTTCCTCCTTCTGACACATCGCTTCCCATCTCACCCCAGCTGTTTATTGTGGTGATACTACTTCCTGATTGAGCTTACATCATTTCTGGCCTTTCTTCCCACCTTTGAAATCATCACTTTTTTTTTTTTTTATGCCAGTCTTGGGGCTAATCACAGCCTGGGTGCTGTCCCTGAGCTTTGTCACTCAAGGCCGGTTCTCTACCACTTTGAACCACAGTTCCACTTCTGATTTTCTAGTAGTTAATCGGAGACAAGAGTCTCATGGCCTTTCCTGCCCTGGCTAGCTTTAAATCATGATCCTCAGATCTCAGGCTCCTGAGTAGCTAGGATTACAGACACTGTTGTTGTTCCTTTTTATGAAAGTACTGGGGCCAGGCGCCGGTGGCTCACGCCTGTAATCCTAGCTACTCAGGAGGTTGAGATCTGAGAATCTCGGTTCAAAGCCAGCCCGGACAACAAAGACCGTGAGACTCCTATCTCCAATAAATCACTAGAAAACCGGAAGTGGCGCTGTAGCTCAAGTGGTAGAGCGCTCGCCTTGAGCTGAAGAGCTGAGGAACAGCGCCCAGGCCCAGAGTTCAAACCCCATCACCGACAAAAAAAAAAAAAAGAAAGTATTGGGGATTAAACTTAGAGTGTACCTGCCAGGCAAGGTGCTCTACTACCTGAGTCATCCCTCCAATCCCTTTTGATTTCGTTTTTACATATAGAGTCTCACCTTTTTTTCTGAGGCCAGCTTAGACTATGATACTCCTACCTACATCTCCGTGGTGGCTGGGATGACAGGCAGGAATCACCACACCCAGTTTATTGGCTGAGATGGAGATCTGGCCAACTTTTCATTTGAGCTGGCTTAATCTCCACCTCAGAAATGGCTGAGCTTGCTGAGTGCTGGTGGCTCACGCCTGTAATCCTAGCTACTCAGGAGGCTGAGATCTGAGAATCACGGTTCAAAGCCAGTTCAAAGCCAGTCTGGGCAGAAAAGTCTGTGAGACTCTGATCTCCAATAAACCACTAGAAAACCAGAAATGGTGCTGTGGCTCAAGAGGTAGAGTGCTCACCTTGAGCTGAAGAGCACCGGGACAGCGCCCAAGCCCAGAATTCAAGCCCTATGACCGACCAAAAAAAAAAAAAATGACCGAGCTTACAGACTTGAGTCACTGCACCTAGCTGAATCCCCACTTTTCTGCTTGTTTTGAGGCACTGGGATTTGAACACAGGGTTTCATGCTTGCTAGGCAAGCACTTTACCACTTAAGCCATCTTGGCTCCCAGTCATCACTGGTGTACAGGCTGACCACAGATCTAGTTGTTTTCTTTTCACAAGCTCTCATTTTCAAATTCTACTTTTTTTTTTTTTTGTCGGTCATGGGGCCTGAACTCTGGGCCTGGGCGCTGTCCCTCAGCTCTTCGGCTCAAGGCGAGCGCTCTACCACTTGAGCTACAGCGCCACTTCCATAAACCAGTGGTTTATTGGGGATAGGAGTCTCACGGTCTTTCCTGCCCCGGCTGGCTTTAAACCGAGATACTCAGATCTCGGCCTCCTGAGTAGCTAGGATTACACAGGCGTGAGCCACCGGCGCCCGGCTAAATTCTACTACTTAGTTATAGATAGACAATCAAACTGTGCCAAGCAGTATCATTCAAACAAAGCCTCCCTTAAGTGAGTCTCTCTCACTTCCTGTGCTTAATGACATCACTTCCTATAGCACTGAAATCATGTGCTTTCCTGAGCCACAGGCCTTCCCCCCCCCCCCCCCCCCCATGAGTGCCATTCATGAAGGGCCTGCTACCCTGCCACTCACATGCTCCTTTGACCTCTATAATTGTTTCCAGCGCTTCTCAAGGTTTTGGCTCATGGTGGGCCTGAATCCCTATTAGTGAAATAACGGGGAGTCTTAGGACAGTCTCTCCATCCCTCAAGCAGCCTTGATTTTGAAGCTCTTTCCTCGGAGCTATACTTCCTGTGCATCCTTGCCAAGCGTAGTTTTCTTTCTTCTTTGTCTCTGACCTCATTTCCTGTCCTTGGCCAGATCACATTTTCCACTGGCTGACTGCCATCCCACTCCTACTTCCTGATTCTCCATTCCTTTTTTTCCTGTGGGGAATTCTAGATAAATAACTTATTTAGATGTAGGAGGCCTCTTTTTTCTAGTTCCCCTTGTCTTTCTCTTCTTTTTTCTTTTCTTTTTTTTTTTTTTTTGCTGGTCCTAGGGCTTGAACTCAGGATCTCTGTGCTGTCCCTGAGCTTCTTCTGCGCAAAGCTAGTGCTCTACTACTTGAACCACAGCATCACTTCTAGGCCTTTCCTGAGTAGTTTATTGGAGATAAGAGTTTCACAGACTTTACTGCCTGGCTGGCTTTGAACCATGATCCTCAGATCTGTTTCCTGAATAGCTAGGATTATAAGTGTGAGCCACTGGCACCTAGCTCTCCTTGACTTTCTTAAGCTACTTCTTCTGAGACCTACAAGTCCCATAATGCACTAGAGTTGGATAGATTTTTGAAATACTCAAAAAACTTCTAGAAAGGCTTTGTTAAGACTGGAGTTGTTCTGGGACTAAAATATGCTAGAAAGTCATCTATAAAGTAGGAATTTGTTTGTTGAGCACTTAATCCTAGCTACTTGGGAGGCTAAGATCTGAGGATCAGTGTTTCGAGCCAGTCTGTACAGGAAAGTCCTTGAGACTCTTGTCTCCGATTATATACAAAGAAGCTAGAAGTAGAGCTGTGGCTCAAGTGGTAGAGTACTAGCCTTGAGAAAAAAGCTCAGGTATGGTGCCTTGAGTTCAAACCCTAGGGCCATGGGCTGGGAAGTTGGCTCAGTGGTAGAGTGCTTGCCTTGCATGCATGAGGCCTTGGGTTCGATTCCTCAGCACCACATAAGCAGAAAAAGCCAGAAGTGGTGCTGTGGCTCAAGTGGTAGAGCAGTGGTCTTGAGCTGAAGAGCTGAGGGACAGCGCCCAGGCCCAGAGTTCAAACCTCACAACTGACTAAAAAAACAAAAACAAAAACCCAGGGCCAATATGCGTGTGAGTGCGCGCGCACGCGCACCACCCCCCCCCCCCCACCCCCCGGCTTTTGTTGATGGAACCCCTTTAAGTGTTAACGGTAGAATGGACTACAACTCCCAGAGGCCCTCGGTGTTCTTCATTATTATCATGCTCTGCCACCCTGAAGCTTGCTGGGAGTTGTGGTCCAATCACTTGGCTTTTGCCTGTCTCTCCACAGACTCTTTATTCCACACTGCCTGCTCTCCTGGACAGTAACCCTTTCACAGCTGGGGCAGAGCTACCTGGTCCTGGTGCAGACCTGGAGGCCATGCCTCCTGGCCTGAGACCCACCCTGGGCGTGTTCCAAGCAGCTCTGGAGTTGACCAGCCAGTGTGAGCTGCACCCGGACCTTGTGTCTCAGACATTCGGCTACTTGTTCTTCTTCTCCAATGCATCCCTTCTCAACTCACTGATGGAACGAGGTGAGGGTTGGCTGATGAGCAGGGACTCCCATCAAGGTAGACATACCACAGGCCCAGGCCTGTGCACCCAGGGTGTTCTTGGGTACCAAGCTCAAGGATAGAAAGGAAGAGGACAGGGTTCACTCAACCATTGCCCTTCACACCCTTCCTTCTTCCCAGGTCAGAGCCGACCTTTCTACCAGTGGTCCCGAGCTGTCCAAATCAGAACCAACTTGGATCTTGTCTTGGACTGGCTACAAGGAGCTGGACTAGGTGACATTGCCGCTGAATTCTTCAGGAAACTCTCCATTGCTGTGAACCTACTCTGTGTGCCCCGCACTTCCCTGCTCAAGGTGACTTCTGGTTAGCTCTAGTTGACCCTTGACCTCTAACCTTCCATCCCAGTCAGCAACTCTCTGGAATCCCTTTACTGTTGGAGCTCCCCTGGAACCCCATGTCATCCTCTACTGACCACAGACTTCTCTCTGGTTCTCTCCACAGGCTTCTTGGAGCAGCCTGAGAACTGACTATCCAACTCTGACCCCTGCTCAGCTCCACCATCTGCTTAGCCACTACCAGCTGGGTCCTGGCCGCGGGCCTCCACCCTCCTGGGACCCTCCCCCTGCCGAGAGAGATGCTGTGGATACGGGTGAGGAGAAATGGCACACACATTGCAGCTGTTTGTTGGCTGTTTGCATTCATAAGAATCTAGGAGACCATGTTCCAGCCTTTTCCTTCTGACCAAGGAGTCTGGTCTCCTAAGCCTTTTCTTTCTTTTTTTTTTTTTTTATTGTAAAGATACTATACAGAGGGTTACAGTTACATGAGTGAGGTAATGAGTACACTTCCTCTTGAACATTGTTACCCCCTCCATTGTTTTCCCCCTACCATCCCCTCCCTCCCTCCCTTCCCCGAGGTTCTTTTTTTTTTTTTGATTGTGATTAAGTGATTACATAATTTCAAAGTCACAAGTTCATTCTAACTTCCCTGGAGCAAATTGTCTACCACAGTCTGTAATATATAACAGTGTTCACATGTTATATACCATATTTGTGATCAGCAGCATGGGGATATTTAGTAGTGGTTCAACCAGATGAGCGGGAGTTCTTTGTTTCTTAAGTCCTGTTAGTTTTGTCGTATCACCTAACATTTTGGATTTAGCATCCACTTATCAGGGAGACCATGTACCGTTTGTCTCTTCGTTCTTGGCTTACCTCGCTCAACATGATTCCTTCTAGCTCCATCCATTTCCCTGCAAGTGCCATTATTTTGTCATTTCTAATGGCTGCATAATATTCCATTGTGTATAGAAACCACAATTTTTGGATCCATTCATCTGTGGTGGGGCATCTAGGTTGTTTCCATATCCTAGCTATTGCGAACAGTGCTGCAATAAACATGGAGGTGCACGTGTCCTTGTATATTGGTTCCTGTTGTTCAGGGTAGATGCCTAGAAGTGGTATGACTGGGTCGTAAGGGAGGTCAATCTTTAGCTTTCTAAGGACCCTCCAGACTGCTTTCCAAAGTGGTTGTATAAGTGTACTTCCCACCAGCAGTGTAATAGGGTTCCTCTTTCTCCACATCCCCTCCAGCATTTGTCGTTGGCTGATTTGTGGATGTGGGCTAAGCCTTTTCTTTTCCTGGGGTCTGAAGGTGCTAGACCCTGCTCCCTTCTCCCCAAGATATAAGCCAGGCATCGGGGATCATGTGTGTCTCAGTGGTAGAGTTCCTGCCTAGCATGCATAAGGCCCCGAGTTTCATCCTAGCAAAGCAAGTACAAGCTCTTACTTTTTTTTTTTTTTTTCCTTCAGGGTTCAGCCCCTGCCCTGGCCCCCCTTTCCCTCTACAACCCCTGGCCTACCTTGCCTAAGAGACCCTGGGCGTATCCTCCTACAGGAATCCCTAAGACTCAGTTCCCAGGCCTTCTCCAGGGATCTAGGTACCCAATGCCTGTTTCCCAGGCAACAGAGGATAGTCTCAAATACAACTCCCATCATGCTCTTGGACACCTGGTTTGAGTGGACCCTTCTCCAGGAGTTGCTGGGAACTAAAGCTTTTTTGTTTGTTTCTTCCGTCGGGCGAGATAGAGCTCCTGATGCCACCCTAACTACCTCTTACTCGGTTTCACAGGAGACATTTTCGAAAGCTTCTCCTCGCACCCTCCCCTCATCCTGCCCCTGGGCAGCTCGCGTCTGCGCCTCACCGGTCAGGTGACAGATGATGCCCTGCATCGTGAACTGCGCAGGCTCCGTCGCCTTCTCTGGGACCTTGAGCAGCAGGAGCTTCCAGCCAATCACCGCCACGGGCCTCCGGTGGCCACGCCTCCTTGAAAACCAATAATACGCGAGCGTGGGAACCTTGAAAGGAAAAAGGAAAGATTCCTTGGGCTCTTACTCCTTTGGAGCCCCGCCTGGTCGCAGAGGTTTCTGGGAGTTGTAGTTCTTGCCTCCCGCGTGGACCACTGGGAGTTGGAGTTTTCGGGTAGTAGAGGATGGGACAGCGGGAAGATGGGCTTGAGATGTCAGCCGCGCCGAGGAGCAATAAAAGTATCTGTTATTGGCAGCGCCTCGCTTATTAAGACCCGGGAGAGTGAACCATGATGGTTTTTAGAGTGCCGAGGCCCCTTGCCTGGAACCAGCGTTGGGTCCCTGCCGAGTCGGAGGAGGTATTTATAGTTATGGCCTCAGCCTGTCCTTCTGCGTGTAATTCAACCCAGGAGCCCAGGGCCCACCACACACCTCGGATCAGAGCCCAAAGCGTGCTCGGCCCGATGCCAGGCCTTGGTTCCTGCCAGTGAGGCGCCGTCAGCTCTCCTCCTCACCCCTCCAAAACCCCTGCTGCAGCCCCAGGAATCAGGGGCTCCCAGCCCCGCCCCCCTAAGTTGTTTGCCAACTGATCACATGACAGAACCCCAACATCTTGATGTCTTTAGCCGCTCCCCAGCAGATCTAGGTATACACACACACACACACACACACACACACACCTCAAAAAAGAATAAACTACCTCCCTTCTTAGACTCAGGCCTCAGAGTTTGAACTTTCCCCTCCTCTCAACCTAATTCCCGCTGCTGCGTCAGGGGAAAAAAGGTGACAGGTGGCACCTGCTGGCAGGGCGAGGGCAGGACCACCTGCCGCTGCTGCTCACTGGAGGCCCCTCTCCCGACACCTGCTCCTGTCTGTCTGCCTTGCCCCACCCGACCCCGCCGCCCCACGACGAGGAGGAGGGACAAACCAGGGAACCCCAACAGTTGGCCCCGCCCTGAGACCATCCCAGCCTGGGTCTCCCACCCCTTCTCAGGGTCGCAGGCCTGGCTCTAGTCTTCCCTGCTCTACCAGCTCCAGGCACGCCCCAGAGAGGCGGAGAGGTGGGGGGGGGGGGGTCCAGGGCTGTCCCTAGTCCGGCAGGGCGGAGCCTGAGGTCTTCAGCTCAGACTGTCAGACTCCACCCGCCGAGGAGCACAGCTGCACCGAACCCACCTGGTGAGAAGCCCCCTGGGATGGAGGGAGGGACCCTCCTCAACTGTTCTGTCACTGCTCTGATCCTCATCCCTTTCCCACGCACCCTGGTGGCGCTCACTAGCTCGTTCCCTTCTTGGATGCCTATCCTCATAGGGACCTAGCCATTCCCCAGAGACCTGCCCCCAACTTTCTTCCCTCTAGTCCGGATCTTAGATTCCAGTCCCTCGGTAGCGTCAGCCCTTCACCTCCTTTTGCAAGGCGCAGGGGGGGAGGTCCCCTTTCAAAGACTCAGGGACTCAACCTCCCACCCAGTGCCCTACACAATGGGACCCAGGAACCCCAGACCCTAGTTCTCCCTCTACTAAGATCCAGAAGTTGGGGCTCCCATTCCCCTTTTTCCCTTAGACCTAGAAGTCCAGACCCCAACCCTCCTCCTTCAGACCCAGGGTCCCAGGCCTTCTCTTTTGGATATAGGACCTGAGCCCCCCACAGCCCTCCACAGTTCTTGCAGAAAATCACCCAGGATGTACCTCTCACCGACCTTATGAACCCTTTCCTGAGTTCATGCAGAGGAGCAGCCTCTGACCTCCCCCCACAACTCCCGACCCTCTGTGGGGGTCCTGCCTTTATTCCAGCTCAGGTCCTATCCCACACTTGGCAATGACCCTGGCGGCTTCCTCCCAGCGCTCCCAAATCATCCGCTCCAAGTTCCGATCTGGTGAGAGAGAGGTGGCCTGTGGGGAGGGGTCCTGGGGATGTAGTCTTGTGTTTTCTGAAGGTCACTCGTGCATAGAGGAGGATGGGGTGGGCCACAGTTGGGAAACTAGGTAAGCGAGGGGTTGGCATGGGAGTCAGGGCCTTCAAAGGACCAACTAGCTGGTTGAAGGACCAACTAGCGGACCAACTATCAGGAAAGTAGAGGAGCACTGAGTTGGGGCCTGGGAGGCCCAGTATGGGAGTGCGGGTGAGAGGATGGGGCGCTCTCAAGCTCACTCGAGCTTTAGTTTTAGTTCAGGGCAGGCGCTCAGTGGATGAATGACTAGATTGGCGTTCATTCCTGAGCAAAGGACACTCAAAAGTTTGCAGACCCAGCCAAGGTGGCTGGACAGAGCCAAGAGCAGGGTTGGAAAGTGTGCCAAAGAGAGTACAAATGGTCTGAGCATGGTGGTGCCCACCTGTAATCCCAGCTACTGGAGAGGTCTGGAACTTCAAAGTCAGCCTAGGCTGAATAGAGGGGCTGGGAGTGTGGCTCAAGTGGTTGAGCTGGCCTGCCTAGCATTCAGAGGCCCTGTGTGAAAAAATTCAAAACGAACATTTCGAAGGTGAATATTGGGTGGAGGGGAGGGGAGGGGGGGTGAAGGGGGACGGGGAGAGGACTGGGAAGGGCCAGAGAAAATGCTGGAATATGCAATTGTGGGGTGAGTGTGCATTGGACTAAAGGAAGCCATATGTAAACTGGGCCAAGATGCCAAGATGATCAGTATGCCAGGTTGGGGTGGGCACAGAAGGGGCAGGTGCAGGCGTGGGGGGGGATGGGGTGCCGGGCTCTGTTGCAGCCTTCGCGTTGGCTTGGCTCTGAGCAGCTCTGGCCTGAGGCTCTGAGCTTGGCTGGAAGCAGGCTGGAGGCCCCGGGAAGGGAGCTGGGGAGCAGCGAACGGGCTGCCCGCCCACCCGCCTGCTGCACGGGGTGTGTAAGGGGCCGGGCACACATCCCGCCAACAACTGTAGCTCCCAACCGCCCGGCTAAGCCAGACTCCTGGACACTCCCTTCCCTCCCCTCCCCTGCTCCCTCCTCCTTCCACAGTTCTGCAGCTTCGGATCCACAGACGGAATCAGGACCCAAGTAAGTTGGGGGCTCTGGGAGGGAGGGGTGGTGGCCTCACTCCCCTAGGACAGACATCCCGGGTGTCTTCCCCCCCTCAGACAGTTCCCCTCCCCCATCCTTGGATGCTTGGTCCATCTGTTCGGAGCTGGGCTGACTGAAATCCCAGCGTGACACCCCAAAAGATAGCAAGAGTCTGCGCCAACCCCCCATCCTTTTTTGCCTTTGGATCTCTACTTCCTGCTGCCCAACATTTCCTACCCTTGACAGATGCACAAGCCGGGGAGATGGTTTCTTGGAGTGGAGATAGGCATCCCAGATTCCACGCACACTTGGCACCCTCAAAAACTACCAGGATGTGGCTCTCTGCTTCTCCTTCTCTGCCAGAATCAGGAGTGCAGGCCCCACCCCACCCTGGCCAAAGCTGGGCTCTGTGATCCTCCTCACACGCCCCTTGTTCACTCAAGACCAGATTCCTGCCTTTTCTTTTCTTTGTGGTACTGAGGATTGAACTCAGGCCTCGGGCGCGCCCAGCAAGTGCCTTCAATACTCTAGTCACTCCCCTAACCCCCAAACTCAGAGCCGGGGCACTGTCCCTTAGATTTTTTTTTGGAGGAGGGGGACTTGAACTCTGGGCCTGGGTGTTGTCCCTCAGCTCTTCAGTTCAAGGTGAGCTCTCTACCGCTTGAGCCACAGTACCTCTTCTGGTATTCTGGTGGTTAACTGGAGATTAGAGTCTCATGGATGTTCCTGCCCAGGCTGGCTTGGAACAGCAATCCTTAGATCTCAGCCTCCTGAGTAGCTAGGATTACAGGCGGGAGCCCTTTTTCACTCAAGGATGGTGCTCTCCTACTTGAGCCACAGCTCTACTTCCAGCTTTTTGGTGGTTACTTGGAAGTAAGATTGTTTCACAAACTTTTTGATCCAGGTTAGCTTTGAACCTCATCTTCAGATCTTAGCCTCCTGAGTAGTTAGGATGACAGATGTGAGCCACAGTGCTCAGCTGTATTGTTTTAGACACAGGGTCCTGCTAACTTTGCTTAGGTGGCACTGGCATCAAATTCAGGATCCTCCTACCTCTCCACCCCAAGCTGGGATTGTAGGACAGAGCTACCATGCCTGGTACCTTCAGAGGGAGACCAGGCTCAACTTGAGCCCCTTGGATTTTGATCCAAGCCTGCTTGCCTGTATTTTGGGGGTGGAGTGTCCAGCCCTCCTTTCCCATGGTCTTGCTCCTCCCTGTCTGGCTTCTTTCCTGCAAGCCCCTCAGGGTCCTTCTTCTGTCTCCAGTCTCCTCCAATTCAGATCCCTGGATCTCAGCCTCAGGCTCAGCTCTGGCCCCAGCCTTGCCCTCCGTCCCTACCTCTTTCTTCTTCAGTCCTGGGGTTCTGCTTCCTGAACCAGAATATTGTCCTTGGAGATCCTCAGAGAAGGTGAGTCTGGACTGGAGAGAGCACAAACTCCTCTTAAGAGTCTAGTCCTGATCCTCTTGCTGCTGCCACACTGTCTGGTGTGGCCACGCAGAGTCCACACTTGGCTCAGGGCTCCGGGAAAGGAAGGTACAAACCACCCACAACATCATCACATTGGCTTTTGCAGGACTCTCCCAAGGTCTCCCAGCGCTGGAGGGAGCCCACATCCAGGGGGAACCTGACATACCACCAGTACATGCCCCCAGAGCCCAGACAAGGGCCCAGGGCCGACCCCCAAGTGGAGGGGAAGGCCCTGGGCTCCCCAAGGCCACCTCTGAAGATGGGAACAAGCTCACAGCCACCATATCCCAAGTATGATCTTCATTTTACTCTTAGGGTTCCATCATCCCCTTGCCTCAGATCTAAAACCAAAGGGAGCCTGGTCCCCATTGTCTCCTTACCAGACCCGCCCTGTCCTCAGCCTTCTCCCTTGAAACCACAAGTTCCCATCCCTCAAGCGTGTGCTTGCTTCCTCTGAAAGCTAGAACCCGTGTCTGAGGACCCCAACATGCCTTTTCTCTCTCTGTCCCCCCCTCCTTTTTTTGGTGCTAGTACTGGGGCTTGAACTCAGGGTCTCAGGCTCTTGGTCAGCTTTTTCTGCTCAAGGCTGATGCTCTACCACTTAAGCCACAGCTCCCCTTTTTTTCTTTTGCTGGTTTATTGGAGGTAAAAGTCTCAAGGGCTTTCCTGCCCAGGCTGGCTTTGAACCGCCATCCTCAGATCTCACTGTCCTCCAGGGCGGCTGGGATTACAGGCGTGAGGCTCCAGCTCTGGCCCCCTTTAACCTGTGCCCCTCCCGCTGTGGAC